AGTGGCAAGAAAAAACACATAAGAGGCATCTTTACATACATGTTATGCCATTGGGAAACTGTGCCTATAGCTTTTATATATTTTTCTAAAAGATAACTTATGCAGCAAATATTTTCAGCACTCAGAATGACTGTGAAACTGGGATAGTGTGTACTGCCACTAGTAAAAACACTAAGTCAGGCATCAAAAATATAAAACCAAAAAGGCTATAGGGGAAACAGAGATGATTAGCTGTCATTCCTTTATTATGTCTTTTCCATTATGTATTTAAATTCATAATTTTACAGTGTTTCATGTGGTGTAAGAATAGAGCTGCAGAAAAAGAATTTTGCCCCTGCTGCCAGTAACGCTGCAAATTCAACAGTTTATTTCCTACTTGAGGGATACTTTTCCCATACTTTTATCAACGAAGTGAATCAATGACTCACTGCTTGCCAATACAACTCACACAGCGTTTTCTCATTTCCCTAGAACCGAGACAGTCAGTATAAAAATAAATGTCTGTTCTCACCACTTCCTGTCCCGCTCTCCAAAAGGAGTATTTCAGGCATTTAATTTCTCATCTTTGGCTTTCCCAATCTCTCTCTCATTATTGATGGGAGTGTCCTGCAACAGGAAATGGCCCTGTCATGTAAGCTGCAAAGTATTAAGGACTTCTTCCAGCTAAAAATAAGTACCAGAACTACCTTCCAGTTTGTTCTTCTTTTGTGTTTATTTCCAAATGTCATATATAGTATAGAGCTTAGAATAAACTCAACCTTTTATGCCATTTAAATGCAACAAACTGCTTTTAACAGTCTGCTTTGCAAATGTACTTGTAATCCTATTAAGCATTTGCCATGTGGCTCATGATGTGTCCATGCTTCAGGAAGAATTGGTACATGATGCATCTGCTGACTTCTTTCAGAGACTAATATCTGCATTAGAAAAGCACTTGGGTGACAATCAAGAATGAGGCCACACTAGGGCTTGTATGGTCTTAGGTCCTTAGATGGGAATAACCTTTGAGTTAATGCTTCACTGTCCCAAAATCTCAGTGCGTTAATGGAAAACCTTGTACACTATTAGTGTTGTTACCAATGAAATTAAAATCCAAAATATCTAATTGTACATTGAACCACTTTTAATCACCCTAACATTCAACACCATGTATCTGGATAAAAAAAGTACATATTCATCCTGCACATGAAAAATACGGTCTAATTAGCTTCTTCTAATAAAGATTTAAAAGATGCCAAAAAATCATAATGCTTGCATTTAGTCTGTAAAATATTATATAATTAGATAATCTCTGATAGTGAATGGTTTGGGGAAAAAGACTCAGGGCTAAGAAAGTCACAGATTCTGATTTCAGCAGAATCTACTTTTATTTGGAAATAGTTGTTACTTGACCTCTCTCTTCTGTACATTAGTCAATATAACTGGATAAACCATTAAAAACAAGGCTCTTTGGAATTGTTTGTTCAACTTGAAGATAAAAAATTCTGCTAAAACACATCAAAATGTTTTCCACTATGAAAAGAGTCTCTCTTCTTTCTGGCAGTTCCTGAGTCATGAGATTAAAGCTGTGAAAAAAAAAAAAAAGTGACACCAATGCTTTTTTAAAAAAATACCTATTAATAATTATAGTTTTAATGAATGGCATGCTGAACATTTAAAATCCAAACTCATGGAGCATCACTAACAGTTTATTCCTCCCACCAGCATAATCATCGGGTCAGGCTGCAGAGAGGGAGAAAGGTTTAATTTTTGGAAGTGAGTGGGAGTGAAGGTTCTGACTGTATGGTCCTGCAATGCATGACACTCTTGAGTTTTCTCTGAGAGTGCAGCTGAGGAAGAGCACCTCTTTTGGACCATGGCCATGACAGTGATGAAAAGCAAAAGGAACTGTTAAGGGAGAAGGAAGGGTGAGTTTGACAGACACAGTGGGACGCCTTTGCCAGTTTCCTCACCACCTGCCACAGCCTATGAGCATCACTTGGCCCACAGCGACAGTCTTCCACGGCCGTATCTCGCTTCAAGCCATTCATCACCAGTACAGCTGCTGAGGTTGGCTTTGTAAGGAGTAGAATATTGAGCATGTCAGTTTTGACAAGATCTCACTGGAAGATTTCCTTTTAACGTTGGATCGACTATGGTTGAGCACTGTGAATTTTTTATGATGGTGTGTGTAAATCCACCTCTCCCCACGCAAGCGGGATGCCAGTGCTCCTTGCAAACCACCTCTTTGTGTCTTTCCTGCATTCTTGTCCTTCTTTCATCTGCCCAGCCCTTGTTTTCAGAACTGCTTATTCACCTTTGTGTGTCAAATGTCCATATGTTTCATTCAACTTTTTCTTACAATTCACTTCTGTCAGAAACCTCTATCTAGAAGAGAGGAGACTATTATCCATTTTTTACTTCTTTTTGCTTCCAAGTTTTGCTTTTGTGTGATTTTACTAGTACTACATGTAAACTATAAAAATCAAAAGAGAAATAAGAAAAAAATAGGATTGTTAAATCATGAGTACATTTTGATTTACAGGGTCAGGCAAGTGATCTGAAGCTATATTACACTTTCCAGCCAATGTCAGACAAATTTCTTAATGACTTGATTCTAGTAATATACAAATTTTATTGCATTAATTGAGGATTTTCACCTTCTTGACTTCATGAATAAGCAGATATAGACACAAGTACGTCTCAATCTGAAGATAATCAACGGTGTGGTGGGGTGAAATTCGCTTCCCGCCTGCTATGCTATACCTAATGATGTTAAATCCTGAATTAAGATGCATGTCTGCACAGTCCTTTTGCAGAGAAGAATGGTTTCTTTCCTTGAATGCTAAAATGGTTGTGTGGCATCAGGTAGAAAATTTGTGGTACAAAATATCTTGAGAAAATAATTGACTCAGTGAATAATTTATTGAATTTGCTGAAAATATTGACCTAGATTTAATGTTTCCACATTCAGAACATGGAAAATGAGTTAAATTGGTATGTGGAGTTAGCCTAGAGTGAGACTGTTGCAGCATGATTAATTTACAAGTGTGAGTTGTTACTCAAGAAAAGCCACTTAGCTATTAAACACTCTGCTTGGGTTAAGCTGACATTTTCTTCAAACTAAGACTGGTGGTCTGATATTGCCAATCATTAGTGAAGACAAGCTGTGAAAAAAAGAATTTGCGAGTGATTAGCAGGCTTGGGGATAGGTAAGGACTGCAATTCTGAGCCTTCTAAGTCTTCATATTTATTTTTTTAATCACCTTTGAACCTGATTTAATGCCGTGTCTCTATCTGATGGCTTAACCACATCTTATCTCTGCATTCAAATTGCAGAGGCTATTAGAAAGTCTGGTGCACTGAAGTTTAAAGTACCTTAAGTAAGTACTAACCTACTTCTCAGAAAAATGGCTTCTAGACCTGCCTAGATTTTTTTTTTAAAAAAAAGCATCCAATAGCAGAGAAAATTTAGAATAGAAAATTTTATTTCATGTCCAGAAGAAAATGAAGATCTAGAGATGGACAGCAACACAGGTAATGTAAAAGGAAAGTTAAATAAAACTGATACATGAATGTACTTTCCTGTTGATTGCTTAGATTGATGTAGTTTCTTTTGATAGAGACTCCCTGTTTTAGTGGCCATCAGATAGCCAAGCTCATATGATGTTAGGCCTTTCTAAGAAGTAGAATGTTATCAGACAAAGCCTTCAGACTGGACATGTACTGCACCTGCAGCCATCTGCTTGTGTAGACATACCCATTCTCACTAGAAAGCATTTTGTGTTGCCTAATTTACATTAATTGTGCAGTGTTTGGTTATGTAGAGCAATCAGTGAACCAGCCTTGCCCAGCACCAGGCATGACTGTTGGCAAAAGTACCCAAGAAAAATCTGCTTGCTAAAATCTGTCAGCAGGCTGAAGCTTTTAACAAATCTTATATTCTTTGCAGGAAGAAGTTCACAAAAGGGGTCATATTTTTTTCAAGACAAAGAAAAACTGTGTCAGCAAGTGCTGGCTACAGGGAAAGGGCTCTAAGGGGTGTTGGATTCAAAGTGTTGTGGTACTCATGAAAGGAATGGCAGAAGTGTTTAAGGTGAAAGTGAAAGTTAAAGGGAGATAGCACAAAATCTTTGGGGGAAGTAGAGGTAACCTCCAAGATTGTAGAGGGATGGGAGGCCAAGCTTGGATGCTTGCCATAAAAAGGTCTGATTGGGGTTCAGGCTACAATACCACTGTGTTTACACTCACCCTTTCAACTGCTGTTTGCAGCACAGAAGTCATTAAGCAAACTAGGGAAAACAACTCCCTGTGTGCTAGCAGTTTCAAAATGATGGTGATTTAAAGAGAAAGAGAGGATGGTAGAAAGGGTAATGTTTTATAACAAGATCATGGGAAGGAGAAAGGAAAAGGTATTTTAGTCTTTGCTTCATAAATTAGTGACCAGTAGTGGGAAGAAGAATTAAGAAATACCACATTGTCCCCTACTTTTGACAAGAGTGCCCCAAACATTCGTGTGTAGCACCATTAAATCCTAAGAAAGCATATCTCTTTCAGTGCAAGGACAACAGGAGATTCAGGGAGTCCTTCAGTTTGCAAATAAAGGCAACCCATCTCAGCCATCTATTTATGGGTGTTATGATTTTAGATACAGAGCTCTCTTCAGAGTCAGTAGAGAGAGCCCAGGGAGTGAGACTTTACCTCAGGCTGAGCAGAGTAATTTAGTAGACCAGTTGGTTTTCTAGGAGATTGGTTTTGTATGGGACACTGGACACCACATTTGCTTGTAGACACAAATTGAGAATTTAAATATTCTCAATGCAAAAATGCTTTATCAAGTTAGACTTAAGATATCCATTTCTTGGGGGATGTTGAAATCTGTTAGAATGTATACAATACTTATCAAATGCAGAAAAGCAAGAGCTACACTAGTCTCCAAGTTCTCTTAGCAGTACTTTCTTTGCACAATACTGTCCTACACCAGCAACTCATATATTTTGTATCTGAACTTTTCTGAACAGGAGCTACTGTGTATAGGCAAAAGAAGTTTCCTCCAGAGACAGGAATACCAACCTCTGCTGAAGATTTGCAGGCCCTCTTCTACTCTTTACCACTTTTACTAAACCTGTCACAAGCTGAGCGCTCCTCAAGAGAGTCCCTGTAGTCGAGCTCTTGGTCCTTGTAACCAGCAAGAGCTGAATAAAGTACCAGAGAAGACCCAGTCTGCTGGGTCCTTTCAATGTACAAGAATCTCTTTTTCTTGGATTGTATGTGAGGCAGTCAAGCTGAGAGGATCCTCACAAACAGAAGAGTACGACATGCCCACATTGATCATTTCCAGCACTTGGCATCTTCTGTGCCACGAAACTGCTGATGGTGTATCAGCCAAGATGCAACACTAAAAGTATTTCAGTAATGGCCAAGGAACCAACAACTGAGCAGCAGGCACTGAATATCATTTGGAAAGCATATCCTTTTTAGTTCACAGGTGGCGTGAGGAGGAACAATTGCCTTGAAAATTACAGCAGTTCAGCAATTTCTTCAAATTGACATAAATCAAGGAATAACTACTTAGAATAACCAACTCCTTACTCCAGGACATGATCAGAACTAGAAAATTATATTGAAGCTGGGAAGATGAAGAGATGTTTGGATATGCTGAGATCACATTTTTCAGCTGTAAGCACAGGAGTGCACATTTTAACAACGGAGCAGATGCTTCCAATTATCTGCAATAAGGGACACTTGAAAATCTAGCTGGTATTAGGTGGTTGTCAGAAGGCGCTTGGATAAGAAGAAAAGGATGGAAAGTGCAGCAAAATAATTTTACTTTCATAACACATTAATTTTAAGACTGCTCTACAAATTGAAAAACTCGTGTGTATTCTGATGACTGAAAGCAAAACAATCAAACTGGAAATCTTAATGTAGAGTGCTTTTCCTATTTTAAACCATGACAAACTTTACTCATGAAATATTTCCTTTGATGTTCTACAGTGTTATTCAAATTTAAATAGATTTACATGTTTAACTGTGCCTACTGCTTGCTCATGTCGTGCTTACATGTGACCTGAAAATAAGATTCCCATAGAAATAGACAGCTTGTAAAATACATGGAAGAAAAGAAATTGTACAACATAGAAAAAAAAATAAATGTAGCCCTTTTATTCATTCTTTTACAATTACTGCATGCCACATCCTGGGGGACGTTGTTGATTTGCTATGTGCTTAGCAGGGTGATGTTCAGAAAGGCTGAATTGCCTGCCCAAACCATGCATGTGCTGACAGGAAAATTCATCTTTTGTCATTTGTTCCTTGGTCTGTAGTAACTCAGACTGCCTCCACTCTCTGCTGAAGGCCTGTTTTTTTCTCCAGAGCCTCATGAAGAAGACAAGAACCACAGACAATCCTTCTCTCCAGTGTGTCAAGCCTGTGTTCCAGACACACCTTCACACTTCCCCACCTCTCTGATAGTTGGGCTATCACAATCTTGTCCATACGGCACACAGATGAGTGAGGTGATACCAGAAGACACGATGGTAATTGCAGATATGCAGGCTTTGGATAAGGGTGCTCTGAAAAGCCAACACCAAGCTCAGGATTGCTCCACATTCACCCATGCAGCCAAGCACTTTGACCGTATTGATAGCATGTGCCAAATGATCCAACAATGAAACCACAGCTGTGAGTTTGTTCTCCTGGACACGCCCAAATGCATTTTCATTTCTGAGTTCCAGCACTGTTCTTCCTTCTTTGATTATCTGGGGGGGGGGGTGGAAGTCAATAAAACAGAAACAAGCTTTTGGTGAAAGATTTGTGCTCTTAGCCTTGTTCCTCTTTAAAATGCATCCATCATGGCTGTAGAGAGAAACTGTTATTTCATCTTGCCTCCACAAAAAGTATGAGAAAAATACATCATGGATAAATTTTATAGTAAAAATTACAGACTTATTGACAATTGGATAATATTTTGCTGGTAAAATAAACATACCTTTTTAAAAGGTCCTCTCTCATTCTCTGCTTTAAGATGTGATTGCTAATTTATATGCAGGACTTGCATACAGCAGAGCTTATCCACGCTTCAGATGCAACTAAAAAATCCTGCGGGAAAATGCTTTTTCTTGGCAGTTTGTGCAAAACCTCAAAAACAAATAACTGAAATTAATTTGAAAATCATTATTTTGGAACTATATGCACTCAGTACTATCACCTAAAATTGTGTCTACAAAAAGGAGTGTTGAAATTGATTTAAGGTAACACATTCTTCATTCAGCAAACTTCTTAATGATTACTTTGGGTCAGATAATTGTTCTTACTCTTGGTGTTCTGCTAAGTACCCCAGATGATTTGACATTGGCCTTTCCTGGCTAATTTGTGGTGCTCTGAAGAAAGAGTGGATAATGAATTCTACATTGCAATTAGATGCCTCATTTCATTCTTCCGGAAGATCCACAGGAAGCTGCTCAAGTGATAGTGAGTTAAAGAAATTCTGAGCAGCTGGTGATAACATCTTCCTCCAAACACTGACCCACTCTGGGGAAGCCAAGGAAAGGTAGCTGCTCACTTATTTGGATATGTGTCTTAGAGGTTATTATTAAGACTTCACTGCTTGGTATCAATGTCATTTTGTAAAGAAAGGGAGTCCAAGTTAGTAGACTGGGTACACCATGAACAAGTAAGGCATTATGCCCTCATTCACTTGCCTGGGAAAAAAGACAAGGAGTTCAAGGAAGGAAATCCAAAAAGGTATGGTTAAAATTGAAAAACTTTGGAATAGGCTTTTCAAACACATCCTGGTGTATGAAGTTGGTTGAACAAAACAAAGTTCAAGAACGACTACTGCAGAAGGCTAGACATGTATGGTCTGTTGAAAGTGCTGCCAGTATTCTGCTCTGGCTTGTGGGCTTTATACACCAGTCTCTTCTGCCTCAGTATATACTTCAATTTTTTCCCTAAGTATTGTGACTCAAGAAGTTAAAAATAACAAAATATATGAAAATTGAGACAAAAAAAATTATAATCAATGATATGACATTAACTTTCAATTAAAATTTAATTATATTTTAGTATAATACCAAGAATACAAGGAACACTTGGAGTAAAATTCTTAGGCCTTTAATGGCCTTGTAGACATCCTGGAGTATCTGAGACACCTGAACATAATTTACCAGATAATATAGGATTTATGTGAGACTTCCATCTTTCTGGAACAAGGAAGTAGGAAAGATGTCTTAAAATGATGCTAAATATAATTTTGACTGGTAAATTTCACCCCTTTTGTCTGGAAGGCAGCTACAGATAAAGTTCTTCTGTGTATCTGTTCTTGTCTGATTTCTACCATACAAAGCTGCTAAGTAGCTTTACTGATATAGGTTAGTAAAATAGTGGAAACAGAAGTATCATATTTTCTTTTAATTTTCCAAACTGGCAGGAGGTAAATTATCTTCTAAAATTTCACACAAGTGTGTTGTATAGTTAATATTCTTTAATGGCAGTTCTCTACATTAAATAGAGGTACTGATTGGTTCACTCTATAAGTAAAGGTGATTTAATCAGCTGGATAGCAACCACATCTACTGCCATATGCCAGTAGAAATTAAAAGGCTAGGGAGGATCCAGCTGGGTGGGACTTCTCAGACAAAATGCTGGTCATGTGGAGACTGTAACCAACTTACTTTTCTGGGACAATCAATCAGGAGAAGAAGAAAGTAACATTAGTGATGAGATATGATATCATATGCAAGTTCATGAAGCACTCCATATTTTTTTAGCCTGAAAAGGCTAAATCCCTCTGAGAGGGGATGTTATCAATGTATACAAGTTTGAAGGGAGGGTGCCAGGAGGAGGTAGCTAGCCTCTTCTCAGCGGTTCCAGCAATGAAAGTGAGAGGCTATTGGGCAGAAACTGGAACATGGGGAGTTCCACCTAAACGTGAGGAAGAACTTAACTGTGTAGGTGTCTGAGCACTGGAACAGGTTGCTCAGATAAATTGTAGAGTCTCCTTCTCTGGAGACATTCAAAAGCCATCTGGACACAATTCTGAGTAAGGTGCTCTAGAGGAACCTGCTTGAGCAGGGACGTTGGACCAGGTGACCTCCAGTGGTCTTTCCAACCTTACCCATGCTGTGATTCAGTGTGTGATATATATTTGGCATTCAGATTACACAGTTAATTATGCTAATCTTTAAAATGACATGCTGAGTATGTCCCAGGTACAAGTACATGGGAAACAGCACTTAACAGTTTATTTGCATTTTTTGAGGAACTTCAGCATTTCAAAAGCCATTTCAATCTAATGCAGGTATTTCACTGTGGATTGTCAAAATGCTTGCATCAAATATGTATCAACCAAATTGGTGAGAGAAACATTATTCTTCTACAATTTTTGCCCCAACAAAAACATAATAAATCCATATCAAAGCTAAGAAGTAAATATCTGAATTTAAATAGGTTTGAGAATCCAGAAGTAATAGAAAATGAAAATTTAGTAACTAACCAGATTCCTTCTGACTCAACTGCAAGTGAAACAGTGCAAATTGACAGGCAAACAATTTTGGGACTAGATAACCTTTTTGCTCTATTGAATAACTCAAGGAAAAGAAGTGTTGAGACCCATTTTCCAACTTCTGGGTTTGACTTCTAAATACCACTAAAACTAAAACACTTTCTGAACCAAATTCCATATTCAAGTGGACAGATCACTTCTATCACATAAGAGTCAGGGAAGAAAACAGTAAATATTGTTAACAGTTATAGACTGATCATAGCACAGCTTCCTACATAAAATTGTCAGACTCAACAGAAGTTAAAGACATGTATGCAGTACTATCCAAATTTGGGATTTAAAAACATATTTTTAAGAAAAAGTGTTTTTCTAAAGCCGTCCCACTGACTTCTGGTAGTGCCTATAGGACCAAGATGTATTTTGGGTAAGACATGATTAAACTAAGAGAAGTATGAGAGCATCAAGAGACAAACTGAAAGCTGATTTCTGAAATGTAGCAGCCATTTTTATTAATTCTTAGTCTGCACACATCTTCAGTGTGCAGATTAATATCCTGTGTGAAGAATTGGGCCATCCCAAAGACTCTCTGGGTGGTTTTTAGTGCAGAATTGATCAAACTATACAAGATGAGGTGCTTGAAAATAGTAGAAAATGCTCCTTCAGCTGTTGAAATGAGTGTGTAGGGCACTCTTATGCAGATAGAATATCTAGGATATGCTTCTTATTTAGTTTAAAATACTCAGTGATGGATCATGCCCATGATGGAGCAGTCACTCAGGGCCATGGTTCAGCTGACTCTAACAGCTGAACAGACCTGCACTTTGGGGAGTGTCTCCTGATCCAGTTGAAGGTGATACTGGAAGGACCCTTGCAAGAGAAACTCTCACTGCTGCCCAGACTGGAACCAGCCTGCTTGTTTATGAAATTTGTTTTTCCTGCCCTATGTCAAAATCCATCAGTGTCCGTGCTTCTCTGCATTTCTACAATAGCAAGTCAAAGCCAGTCTAAGCCTAGATTTTGTAAAATATCAGCTAAATGTGAACAGGCTGGCTCAGCCTGAGAGAAGTGCAATTTTGTTAATAAGGTGCTTTCCCTGGGCTTAAAGTATTGCTCAGGCAGGAGAACAGACCTTGGGGAGTACTATGCTAACACAATTAAAGCACTTCTAACATCTGTGCTGGCTGCTTAGAGGTAGCCTGAGAATTTTTTCAATACAGTTGTTCTCTCTGAGATATTAGAAAAGTAGGGCTACATTTTCTTGCTTTGCATGAATTTTTTCCTTTCTTTTGGCACATAGATTTTTACTGCTTTGGCTTCAAAGAAGCAGGACTACAAGGGCAAAAGATGAGAGCAGATTTAGTCTACCTGAATTAACTTTATTTCTTTTATTCCCTAAAAAGTCAATTATTATCTTTCTAACATCATCTCAATAACATCAAATGATTTATCTTGATAAACCCTTCTTTACATAAAAGCATAAAGATAGAAAAGCTTATCAGTTTTGGTGAAATTAACTTTTATATTTCAATTATTTTTATTGATTAATTTCTTCTAATTCTATATCTCTATATAATATATAATTCTAATTCTATATCTTTAACTTCATGTTACTCGTGGCAGTATCTTGCTAAAGAAAGGAGGACAAGACCTCTGTGTTTACAGACAGGAATCTTGGTTAATTTAGTGCAGTGGCAGGCTTGGATAAAGATTGTTATTCTTTGGAGACAACTTCTGCTAAATTTAAGACTACAGAGTGCTATGATAAGGGTTGTTTATAAGGACCACTCTGAACATCTTTCTGTGATATTATCATTAATCTCAGTGCTGTGTTTAACTCCCATGTAAACTTGCAATGAGTGAGAAGGGACACTCTTATTTTATGTTTTGTATATAAAAGGTTTTGAAACCCTAACCTTGGTTGGAACCCCCCAGATAAAATTGGAATAGCATAAAAACAATGAAAGATGATAAAAGTATAACAGCAATTAGGGCAAATCATTGTGCCATACCTTAGATCTCCAAGAAAATGTTTTATCCCTGCCTCTGTTACAGCTTTGTTTTTCGATTATTTTACCTATCTTATGCTATTTATTGAATACCTTTCTTTAACAAAGGGGAGAAATGTTCCACATGGTACAACTATATTCTAAGTGATCTTCAGTTCCACTACAGTGTTTCCTCATATAAGAAAATAATTTCTGGTCTGGATTAACAAAAGAAGAACAAAATAGCTTGCCTATTATCTGTCTTCAGCAGATTTTCCAAAAACAGCCTTGAGTTACTCGGGTCAGAGTCCCTAACCTGCCCTTTCTCACTCAATAAAGAGCATGAAATAAAAGGGAAGGGCAAGGGACTCTCACCTCACAGGGTGAAAAAAGCAATCTTGCTCTCAGGTAGCAAGTTGCTCTATCCAACTGGAAAGATATGACTTAAAAGGAAATTAGAAATTGGGGTGAAAGATATTGAAAAGTGAGTCCCTTGAGGACCTGGTCTGTA